GGACACGTACGCAGAAATAGTGGCTCAACTACGGAACGGCGGGGTTCCCACTTTTGGGGTCCTTTTCATCCATACAAATCACATCTTGTATCTTCTTGTTTCATCCATTCATCATCGCCACATCAAGGTGCAGTGTTACAGGTTTTGGAGCGACAAGTGGTGCTCCGTGAGCGCTATCTGGCGGCTAATCCCCAAATGCAATTCAAACAGCTGGAACGCATGGATCAAGCAGGACCGTCTGCTCAAGGGGCTTCAACATCGTTTCCATCGGTGTGAATACGCTAACTTCAGGAAATTTCAATCGCTATCTATTTTCTAATCTGATCAGGCTGAAACTTCCCTTTTGCAGACGTACTACACTTCCAGAAACGTTTAGTGCTCCGCACATACCGCGCGAACATGAGTACAGATTTGCTTATGACATGCTATACAAAGGTTACTCAATCATGTGAGTTGAATTAATAACAAGCTAACCGACTTTGCATGCAGGCAGACCTACTAATCATCCCCACGTTATGGAGGAATTTGAACGAAGAGAGCCCCAAGATTTTGATACATAGTTCTTCTCAAGATTTTTATAAGTAAGAAGTTTCTGTACCTACAAGACGCATGTGGAATTTTACGCAAATATTATATTTCAGCTAATCGGTGGAGAAGAGCCATATCTGAAGTCGCTCGACCGTAGTGCAGTCCACATGGCATACGTTTGTCGGTTCATGCTCATAGCGATGAGAGCACGTCAACGGTGTGTGAATCCCTGCTAGCAGTGTTCGTTTTTGGAGAAGGACTAAAAAGTTTAGGTGCGGAAGAATTGTTACTGTGGACGATGCGCTGTTTTCTCACTGCATGGTTGCGGAATTCCTGCAAGTGACCCAAAAAACACGCAGTGACAGTCCATGTTCGAATGGGCTTTATCAAGTCGCTGATCGCTTTTCTACAAGTTCCTGAAAGTTCATATGGACCCCGGTACATTTCACAGAACTTTTTTTCACCCATTGGACTTTTTTCAACCATTTCCATACAACATATAAAACATACGCTTGTCGACAGTCGCCGGAGAAGGCAGGATACCGATTGCGAAGAACGCGCTTGATATTATGAAGGGCCACTGTGCACGTCTGAAGGACGAGGAAGCGAAAGCCGCATTGCAAAAGGGAATCGTTTCTATGGGAAAGCCTAAAAGGTTGGTACTCTAGACAAAACAAGCACATGACATACTTATGTAATTCAAATTTTTGCTCTTTCCAGAGATGCGCGCTGTATGGAGCGATGCGAGCGGTCGTCAATCACCGCATTATCAACGAAAAAATTGAGGAAATTATGAAAAAGTTTGCGAGGAATTCGAGAGAGCTGCTTCATGTGGAGTACAGTTCTGATGAGGTATGTACGTACATACATTGACGGAGGTTGCAAATGAATGAGAAAGAGCGTCCTGGACTTATACACGTCACCATATTGCAGCGCTCTATTCGCGTACATTATGTTCTGCAGTGGCTCAAGGTACGAGATAGCCTGCAAAACAGTATGCGGCAGTGTAGTGGAGGAGACAGAAACAACCTATGGGACTCGATAAGCATGTGGAATCGGACGAGGACTTTTGGGTGAAGCTAGAGCTGTTCTATCAAGTTTACGCACGCTCGTATGGCAGTGGATCTTGGAGGTTTCAAACAAACCATTTTTGACCAGCAGCTACCGGGTATGACTTCAGGTTGTGCGTTTCCCGCAACCGAAACAGCAAGGATCGGGGTTCGAGAGACGACATGCAAAAGTGGCCTCTTTGTTCTGGACAAGGAAATCGTATGCATGGTTGCAACACTACAAGAAACTCCGTAGCTAGTATGTCCGAGTAGGAAATTAGCACATGTAGATTGGAATAACGTCGATTTTTTCAGTGTTGTCCAGCAGCATGATCTTGCTCCCTCAAATGAATGAGCGGGCAAGTCCATTCTTCCTGTTGTGGAGCGGCACGCCAGCGTCGCGTCGTCTATTCCATATCTCTTCAAGCGGTTTTTCAAGACAATAAATAGCGAAGAAAT